GAACTGTAAAACACTGATGAAAGAAATCATAGATGACACAAATGGAAAAACATTCCATGCTCATGGATTAGAAGAATCGATATCATTAAAATGACCACATTACCCAAAGCAATCTACAGATTCAATGCAATTCCCATCAAATTACCAATGCCATTTTCCAAAATCAGAAAAAAAAAAAATCTAAAATTCATATGGAACCAAAAAAAGAGCCTGAATAGCCAAAGCAAACCAAAGCAAAAAGAACAAACTTAGAAGCATCACATTACCTGACTTCAAACCATACTACAAGGCTATAGTAACCAAAATATCATAGTACTAGTATAAAAATAGACACACAGATCAATGGAACAGGACAGAGAACCCAGAAATAAAGTCACACAGCTACAACTAACTGATCTTCAACAACGTCAACAAAAATAAACAATGGGGAAAGGACATCCTACTCAATAAATGGCGCAAGGAAAACTGGCTAGCCATTTATGGATGAACAAAACTGGACCCCTACCTCTTACCATTTACAAAAATTAGCTCAAGATTAAAGACTTACCTGTAAGACCTCAAAGTATAAAAACTCTAGAAGAAAACCCTGAAAAAAACCCTTCTGGGCATTGGCCTAAGCAAAGAATTTATGACTAAGACCTCAAAAACAACTGCAACAAAAATTGGCAAATGGGACTTAAACTAAAGAGCTTCTGCGCAGCAAAAGAAACAATTAACACAATAAACAGACAACCTACAGAATGAGAGAAAGTATCTGCAAACTATGCATCCAATAAAAGATTAATATCCAGAATCTATAAGAAACGTAAAACAAATGAACAAGAAAAAACCCCATTAAAAAGTGAGCAAAGGATATGAATAGACTCTTCTCAAATGAAGACATACGAGCAGCCAACAAAGATGAAAAAAATGCTCAACATTACTAATCATCAGAGTAATGCAAATTAAAACCACAATGAGATACACACAATCTCATGCCAGTCAGATGTGAAAAATGATACATGAACAAAATGATAACATCAATACCATTACCATTTATATCTACCAGTGGTAGATATAAAACAGAAAGGAACCAATAAGAAATTCTGGAGATTAAAAGTCTAATAACTGAAATGAATAATTCACTGGAGGAGTTCCAAAGCACATTTGAGTAGAAGAAAGAATCAACATGATTGAAGATAAAACAATTTAAATTATCAAAATTAACAAATGTTTACCTAGATTGACTAAGAAAAAAAAAGATTCAAGTTACTAAAACTATAATGAAGTGGGACTATTACTATGAATCTTACAGAAATAAAAAGGATTATAAGAGAGTGCTATGAACAATGTATGCTAACACACTGGATAACCTAGCTGAAGTGGACAAATTCCCACAAACACAAAACACACCAAGACTGAATCCTGAAGAAATGGGAAATTGAATTAGTAATAAAAAACCTCAAGATGAAAAACCCTGGACTTGATTGCTTCACTGGTGAATTCTACCAAACATTTAAAAAAGAACCAACATCAACCATTCTGAAATTCTTTTAAAAAAGAAAATGAAGAGGAAGGAATAAATCCTAACTCATTCTATAAGCCAGCATTACTCTGATACCAAAGCCAAAGGTATACAAGAAAAGGAAACTACAGACCAATACTCCTTAAGAATACTAACGCAAAAATCCTCAACAAAATACTGGCAAACTAAATTCTGCAGCATGTTAAAAACATTATACACAATTTCCAAGTGGAATTTATTCCTGGAATGCAAGAATGGCTCAAAATATGAAAATCTGTCAATGTAATAATATACCAGATTGGTAGAACGAAAGGAAAAAAACACATGGTCATCCTAATTCAAGCAGAAAAATTATTTTAAAAAATTCAACATCCTTTCATGATAAAAACATTAAAACTAGAAGTAGAAGGGAACAATATCAACATAATAAAAATTCATAGTTGACATTATACTCAATGTTGAAGGACTGAAAGCTTTTCCTGTAAGATCAGGATCAAGAGAAGGAACAAGACAAGGATGCCTGCTCTTTCCACTTTGACTCAACACAGTACTGGATGGTCTAGCCAGAGCAATTAGGCAAGGAAAAGAAATAAAAGGCATTCAAATTGGAATGAATGAAGTAAAATGATCTCTATTCATAAATGATATGATCTTATATGCAGAAAACCCTGAAAGTTCCACACAAAAAACTATCAGGATAAAGGAACTCAGCAAAGTACGATACTAAATCAACACACAAGTCAGTTGTTTCTATGTACTACCAATAAATAATTCAAAAAAGCAATTAAGAAAACAATTTCATATGTGATAGCAACAAAAAAAAATACTTGGGAATTAACAAAGATGATGAAAGACTCACACAATGAAAACTACGAAACAATATTGAAAGAAATTAAAGAAGACATCAATAAATAGAAAAAGCACTCCATGTTAATGGATTGGAATACTTAACATTGTTATCTGTAATAAGCAAAATGACCACAGATTCAATTTAATCCCAATCGAAATCCCAATGACGTTCTTTGCAAACAACAGAAAATACATCTTAAAATTCATATGAAATCTCAAATGACCTTCAACAGCCAAAACAATCTTGACAAGAAAAACTCTTAGAAGAAAACACAGGGGAAAATCCTCACACTCATTAGAGTAGCTATAATAAAAAACAAGAAAATAGCGAGCATTGGTGAGGATAGGAAGAAATTAGAACCTTTATACAATACTGATGGGAAAGTAAAATGATACAGTCACTATGGAAAACAGTATGGTGTTTCCAGAAAGAATAAAACACAGAATTACCATATGATCCAATAATTCTACAGCTGGGTATATACCCAAAGGAACTGAAAGCAAGGTGCCAAAAAGATACTTGTCACTCATGTTCCTAGCAGCATTATTTAGAACAGCCAAAAAGTGGAAGCAACTCAAGTGTCCATCAACAGATGAATAAACAAAATATGGCACATACTTACAACAGAACATTCAGCTTTTCAAAGAAAGAAAATTCTGACACATGCTACAACATAAACTTTGAAAATATTATGGTAAATGAAATAAGCTGGTCACACACAAAAGTACTTTATATGATGTTCCTAGAATAGTCAAATTCACAGAGAAAGAAAATAGAATGATGGTTGCCTGGGATGGAGAGGAGGGAGTAGAAATGAGAGTTGTTGGTTAATAGGTACAGAGTTTCCATTTTGCAAGACGGAAAGAGTTTTTGGGATTGGATGCACAACCATGTGAATGTACTCAGCACTACTCAATTTAAGAATGGTTAAGACAAATTTTATGTTATGTATACTGCATTTTTAAAATTAATAGGATTTAAACATTTGCTATTTAAAATGGTCTTTCCCACATTCAATTTTTGTTCCAATGGGAAAAGACTGTTTCAGTGCAATGTACGGACCCATTATTGAAACCCTCCTATAGATGTAAATTTTCCACATTGACTCCCAAAATGCAACGCCATCCCCAAAAAAATACCACACAAAAAATCGATAGCTCTAACATAAATTTTTCAGTAAAATGAAGCTATTTCAACTAAGTTTCTAGAGAGAAAATAAAGATAAAATGTAAACAGTAAACAATACGTTACTGATTAATTTGTACTACACTGCCTTTCATGTTCATTTCTGTTCTTCACGCAACAAAACAAAGGAAGAAAATATCATATTAAGTACTTTTCACTTCAGAGAAGGAAAATCTCTAGATTTAGCAACCATAAAAAGAAACCCAAAGAAGAACCAGAAAGGAGAAAGGAAAATGTAGGTATTAGAGATTGTGTCATAACAAATACAGATAAGGAAAAGCAGTACACCCTCTCCCACATACATCTTTACCACACACATCCGTCAAATGGCACATTAGTAAGCACAGAACTATGTATAACGACATACTTTAACCATATACTGTATTTATTTATTTAGTTAGTTATTTAGTTATTGAGATGGAGTTTCGCTCTTGTTGCCCAGGCTGGAGAATAATGGCACGATCTTAGCTCACCGCAACCTCTGCCGAGATGACGCCATGGCACTCCAGTGATTCTCCTGCCTCAGAAGAGATTCTCCTGCCTCAGCCCCCTGAGTAGCTAGGATTACAGGCACGCACCACCAGGCCCAGCTAATTTTTGTATCTTTAGTAAGAGATAGGGTTTCACTATGTTGGCCAGGCTGGTCTCAAACTCCTGACCTCAAGTGATCTGCCTGCCTCAACTTCCCAAAGCGCTGGGATTACAGGCATGAGCAACTGTGACCTCATTGTAGTTTTGATTTGCATCTCCCTGAAGACTAACAATGTTGAGCATCTTTCCATGTGCTTATTGGTCATTTGCATATCTTCCTTTGAGAAATGTCTATTCAAATTTTTGTCTATTTCTTCATGGGGTTATTTGTCTTTTTATTAAGTTATCAAAGTTCTTTATATATTCTGGATACATGTCGTTCCTCATATATATCATCTGCAAATATTTTCTCACATTCTATGTTTTGTCACTTCACTATCTTGCTGGCGTTGATGAACAAAAGTATTTAATTTTGACCAAGTCCATTGTGTCTAATTTTTATCTTCTTTGTGCTTTTGATGTTATATCTAAAAAGACCACATATTTTAATATTAACCTCCACGTCAATGAAAGAATGGACTGGAAAAAGAAATGACATTAAGAATCAAAGTGAAAAAACAAAATTATCAGGGCCTCAAATCCAGAATCATTTTTCTTGTAACAAAGAAGCGATACATATTATCAATAAACATAGTAAAGTATTGACTTGTAAATACCATACTGATCTGTCTGCTCAAAGTTTGAATGGACTTTGTACTAATGAGTGAAAAGTGAAAGCTTTCAAGGAAAATAATACACAAATAATTTCCAATCACTGCATTAAGGTAAAATTTAGCTATTTTAAGGTTTTTAACCTATAAAAGTAAAAGATATTTTTGGTCAGTAAAACAGTCAGAAGTATAACCTTCCTCTACAAATGAAAACACTTACCTGCTAAGTAATTCTAATCCAGCAGAGTACTTTGGCAAAAATGGAACAGTCCTGCCCAAAAGAAACACTTATTAAAACTGTTCTTGATTTAGCCAACTGAAAAAAAAAAAAAGGTACATACAAGAATTTTGACATTGTCAATTGTAATATACTTTAAAATCACTAATGACAATTATTAAACTTTTAGAGAAATGTGTTTTATTTCAGAGTTAATGTACTGTAACACACTATCAACCAACATTTTGCCCCAGAGATTGTCTTCAGCATACAATACAATAAATGATTTAATATAATGTTGGATAAGAACAAATACATAAGATCAAAGTTCATCTCTAGGCTGAAAATGAAATCTGGTCACACGCTTTACTTTATTTAAAAAATGGACAAACAGCACAATCCTGGTGTTTTCATATAAAACAGGTAACACAGCTAAAGAGGCTCATTTGCCAAGTAGTATTTCATTATTAATTTGCTTTTCAATAATTCAGGACTTTTAATTTTGCTCTTACACAAATTAAAAATGACTAATTTTCAGCAAATAATAATCACTGATTGTCAGAGTAAAACAATTATACTTTATCATTTTTTCAACCATTTCACAATTTTACTGGAAAATTTTCCGTTACAAAATTTAGAAAGAACCAATAAATTATTTTGTAGTCAGATGCACTCAACAAATCTAAGGTTCATTAATATAATTACACAATTACGAACACAACCAAACGTATGAAATTTAAGTCACAGTAACTTAAAATCTTAGCACAAGCTTACCTGGGTTTGCTTTTCACTTTTGCTTCTCTTGACTTGTCACTTAGAGTCTTCAGCCTATAATTCAATATAAAATATAATATTTTTACAAGTCAAGAGATGATGATGATTATTATTATTAGAGACAAGGTCTCACTCTGTTGCCCAGGCTGGAGTGCAGTGACATGTACATGACTCACTGCAGCCTCAACCTCCTGGGCCCAAGTGATCCTCCCACCTCATCCTCCTGAGTAGCTGGGACTATAGTCACCTGCCACCACGTCTGGGTAATTTCTTTTTTTATTTAGTGGAGATAGAGTCTTGCTATGTTGCCCAAGCTGGTCTCAAACCCCTTGCCTCAAATGATCCTCCTGCCTCAGCCTCCCAAAATGCTGGGATTACAGGCATGAGCCACCTCACCCAGCCCAGAGATTTTTCAACCACAAATTTTCACACGTTAAAATTTTAGGTCAGATAAGCTACTTTTTTTTTTTTTTTAAGCAAGAATTAAGTACCTCAAAAGACAACAAATATTTGAGTGTTTACTATATGTTAGATACCACAAATGGAAAATCTGTAGCATATATATATATTTTTTTTAAGAGATGGTCTCACTCTGTTGCCCAGGCTAGAGTATAGCAGTGCGATTATAGCTTACTATAACCTCAAACTTTTGGGCTCAAGTAATCCTCCCACCTCAGCCTCCTGGGTAACAAGGACTACAGGTATGTGCCACCATGCCCAGTTATTTGTTTCACTTTTATTTTGGTCTCACTATGGTGCCCAGTCTGTTCTCTTAACTCCTGTCCTCAAGTGATCTTCCCACCTCAGTCCCCACAAAGAGCTGGAATTACAGGTGTGCACTACCACGCCAGGCCTTATTTTCATATTCTTACTTACCTCAAGTCCCTTTTTTAGAAACAAAGATTCCTAAATGTGATCAGACCACAGAAACATAATTTATCTGGCATCTTTAGAAAAAGTAATGTTCCACATAGGAGAAATCGATAGGTAACAAAGATATCTAAGCAGCACACTTCATTAAGCAGATGCTACCCAGGCATTAAAATCTCTTTAAGCGCCCACAGTATTTGAAATTTTAGTGGAGAAAAAGCTTTTTAAAATATATCACAAACTTCTTTCATTAAAGAGGATTTGGCAGATCTCGTTTAACATTTTGGGATAACTCAGGATCAGTATTAAGAACATCACTGACTACATTTTGCAGCAAAACAGTACTCTCCCCTGATACTTCTGAGCTAGAAATGCATCTTCGTCTATTAAGCTGAAACCAATCTATGGTAGCTTTGTGTCTGTTTGGGCTCTTATGTTTACCTTTCCTAAATTTTCTTTCTCTACCATTGGCCACCTGGCTGTCAGCTCTCACTCACTGCTTCTGCTAGCTATTTAACTCTAGCAGTCTCCTCCCCTCTACTTGCTGCTTTTAAATTATTACACTGGAAAACAGATAAATGGGCTAGAGCTGCATATATAGAATTAACATATTTTAAATGTAAAATATGATGTTCATAAACTATACAATTTATTTTCACTTCACTGGTCCAGTTTTACTTTATTTTGGCTGTGGACTCTGTTACAGATAACTGAGGTTGCCAATAAGTGAGAGCTATAGTATGTGGTAATATGTAAAATGAGGTATCATGTATACATTCTTCTCAATCACTTCAACAAATATTCATTTGTAAATAGAAACTGAAAATATAGGCCATAGTACTACTGCTAGCCCCTACAAAGTCTTTGTAAAAACAGAAATAGGTGTTCGTTCCTCCAGACACTTTACTACCATCAGCCAGAAACTGTCCTAATATACAAGTTGACTCTTGCACGAATAACTCAACTATGCATTGTACAGTGTACAACCTGCACAATTATGCATGCTGGTTCTGAAACAGGATTCCATCTTTTCTGTCTATAATGTCTGATTAAGCACCATATGCGGACTTCTGATAAACTGCATTTTTTTAAACCAAAAACTAGAAGGCCAAGGTCATACAAAGAGTTTCATATTACTCTATGATCTTTTTCAAAAAATAAAATATTGACAAGATCAATTCCTCTGCAACATTCAAAAGATTCAGCAATCTCTTTAATACAAAAGTAATTTGCATATCTCTCTAGATAAGTCTAGGATATTATGTAAAAGTCTAACATAAATTTCTAAGCTTATCTTGGAAACTAGTAAATCTGGTTTAAACCAAGATTAAGCAAAAGCTAAGGAAAACAATTTTTATGGCCATGCTCTACCATTTGCACTATAAAATTTGATCAAAATACTTAGAACATCTCAGGCAAAATTATCCTAGTTATATACAGCAGTACATCATACTCAAAATGATTCTCACATTATTTTTAGTGATTCAGGACAATTCTATACAGTTGAGGGTGAAAGGGAATTCCTAAGATCCTCTTTGGACTACTCTAATTATATGATCTAGCAAATCTCTAAGTTGGTATTTCAACTATATTTCTAAAACAAACTTTTAATTTCTTAATTGTAATATGCCAAGTTTGGGATTCTCTTCTCTGTCCCCCCATCCCCTCCCCGCCACCCACAAAAAGAAAAGACTAGTTTGAAATGAAAGGGAAAAAGGAGTGTTACAGGAAACAGAAAGTAAAATTGTTGGAAGATTCAATAAAAGCTTTCCCATGTGGTTCCTTAACAGTCATGCTTTAAAAATTGGTCTTTAACCAAATTTAATGTGTGAAACTTATCTGATCTGGATTTGAACAAACCAACTGTAAAAAGTCATTTCTAAGAAGAAGACATCTGATTATGGACTGCATAATCGATAATATCAAAGAATTCGTGTTAATTTTATTAGCTATGATGTCGGCATTGCATTATGTAATGTGTTTCTTTTAGTGATGCAAGCTGACATATCACAGGTATAGTAGGCAAGTCTGACATTTACATTACAAATAAAGCGAGAGACAAGGCAAACATGGGAATATCTGAAAATTATTGAATCTGAGTTACTGATATATGTGGTTCATTGTGTTATTCTATGTGTCTGTGTGTGTTTGAAACTTTGTAAAAAACAATTTTTTTTGAGACAGGGTCTTGCTGCGTCACCTAGACTGGAGTGCAACGGAGCAATCGTAGCTCACTGCAGTCTCAAGCTCCTGGCCTCAAGCGATCCTCCCACCTTAGCCTCTCGAATAGCTAGGACTACAGGCTTACACCACCACACTCAGCTAGCTTTTAAAAATCCTTTGTAGAGACAGGGGTCTCTCTATGTTGCCCAGGCTGGTCTTGAACTCTTGGACTCAAGCTATCCTCCCACCTCAGCCTCCCCAAGTGCTGGGATTTGAAGCATGAACCACCATACCCAGCCAAAAAACATTTTTAATAACAAAAACAATCTTTTAGGTATTCATCTTTTCTCACTACATCTTCTCCAAATAAATTGCCAATGTGCCAAAATGCAGAAAAGAAACTGTTGAAGAAAACAAAGTAGCCGTAGGAAAGCTGGAAATAGTCATCTTTTTCCCTGCTAAAAAACAAACAAAGTAAAAAACAAAGTAGCTATAGGAAAGTAAAACAAAGTTAAAAAAAAAAAAAAGTAAAAAAAAAAAAAACAGCTATAGGAAAGTTGAAAATAGTCATCTTTTTGCCTGCTAAACTTTCTTGTTTCCAACTATTGAGATGAAAAATATAAAAGATCAGATATACTTAAAGAAAGTAACAAAAAACCAAAAAGGTATTTTTCAAAACCCAGAATTCACCTGAGATTAGCCCACTATTTTTATTCTGGGCTAACTCCAGTTCCTCTGGAGAACTTATTCTGTCCTGGAAACAACCCACTCATAAAGTCTGTTTAATGTCCCACAATATCATGACATGCTGTGAAGGGAATATTGATCCAGGGAGAATATTCCAGTTTCCTCAAATGTAAAATGGTAGTATTATATTCAACCATAAGGATGTGCCAAAATAATTCAACAACATTCCAAATGTGACCTTGGTAGCATTCTGGAAACTATAGAGCTAATTTCAAATGAAAGTTATAATAAAGGTGATCCCCATCAAGAAAGTTGAAAAACCAGTGTACTACATTACTGGGCTAAGGTGAAATAAAGTAGAGGTTCCCAACGTGCCTACAAAAGGCTTGCCCAGCCCTATTCTTGGTCTTCTCCCAAGTACCATACACTCATGAACACATAAGTGCTGTGTGAGCATATTAAGATAGAGACTAAGTGAGCCATCTGACAATTATTTTCTACTGACAACTTTCAAGTTCAAAGCACTAAACCTCAAATTCGTCATAATGTTCAATAATTTTATTTTTAGATCTCTCCAACAACTTCACCTTAATTTGACACCAGCATATTTATGTCTTTGATCTTTGTAGAAAATACTAAAAAAATGGAGGCTTCTTACTGAAAAAGGGGGGTGATTCACAAAACTGCTTAGACAAAAAGTGTAAAAAGATGTAGATAAGCCTGGGCAACATGGCAAAATCCTGTCTCCACCAAATATACACAAATTAGCCAGGCGTGGTGGTGTATGCCTGTAGTCCCAGCTACTTGGAAGGCTGAGGTGGGAGAACTGCTTGAACCCAGGAGGTTGAGGCTGCAGTGAGCCACGAGCATACCACAGCACTCCAGCCTGGGTGACAGAGTGAGACCCTGTCTCGGAGCAAAAAAGAAAAGAAAAAGATGTACATAAACAGAATGATGCATTGAGTACTACAACGGCTGATGAGATCTGCCGGTGACTCAACAGGGTGGGGAACCTGTATGACACTTCATTTATTTGTACCTCAATTTCCAACTGTCTACATCATTGGCTATTAGGAAAGGTGAGGACAATTGCTTTAAAGCACCACAGAAATATATGAATTAGCATATTTTGTCATAAGGCACATCCAATCTATTACATTTTCACATCAGTGTTCACCAATTTTTTCTCTCTCTCAAGCGAGATCGGGGAAAAGCCAAAGCCTCAATCACACTTAAAACTGTAAATGACCTAAGGTCCAAAGCCTAAGAAATTCACACAAAAGCTGCTCAGACTCAGGAAAGAAAGATGAATTTAGACTATCTTCATCCTAATG